AATCTGACTAGTCATTTGAATACACTAAGCTATATCCATTAATCTCAGATATGAATAGAATTTACTACTTTTTAATACTAGAATAGTAAGTGATCTTCAAATTAAAGTTGTAAAAATCAAATTCAAAAGAGCCTGAGAGGTTAACCCCTCAGCCAAGTCATCAGATTACATATAATGGAAGTAATACAGAAGCTGACATTGAAAAAGCAATTTTGAAAGAAGAAGAATGAAAGGTGAGGGAACGTGGCCAGGGCAAAAGGTGACTTTTAAGATCTTATAGGTATTCACATCTTATGGGTGCTTACATTACTGAATGGTTTAAAACAAAACAAAACAAAACAAAACAAGACAGCCTGGTACACAAGATAACCAATGCAAAAGTATTTATAATACATTTTATTTGGTTAAAAGGCTAACAGCTATTGTTTAGTTAAAGGTTGTTTGGTTGAAAGGAGCTTAAATGAACAGGAAGATAAGTTATAGGATGACCAAAATAATTTAAAAAGCTTAATATTGCAATATAGCTACCTTATGCATATTATTTAAACATAAGAATAGATAAATAAACACTCCATGAAAAGGCAGGGAAAAAAAAAAACACTCCAAAGCTTTTAATCATGTGTTTCACCTTCTTAATCCTGGTTATACCCATGTTTTGACTTGTTATGGTCTGAGAATTCAGAAAAAGCAGAATCCATAAATTCAACTCATCTTCTCATCTTCCTACAAAGTAGAAAAAAAGGAAGATTAACAATAACAACCGAAAGCTAATGCTTTTGCTGTGAAGTATAGAGAGGAAAATTGCTGCATCATACCAGTAGAAAGTGGCCTCCTCAAGCCACAAGCTTTGCCATACATTTAAAATACTGATAGTAGGAATTATAAATAAGGTTTAAGAGAAATTAATCAACACAGATTTTATACATTATGTTTTACTACATATTTTATGAACTTTAGCATACATATAATGTAAGAAAATGTACAATTTAAAAACAATCAAATAAATGCTGATGTACCTACACCCAGGTTAAGAAATAAGCGATCAGCACACCTCCCAAGCCTCCAGTGTGCCTCTTTCTGACCACAGCTCTCTCATCTCCCAAGAAGTGATCACTATTCTGAATGGAGTTCAACAGTCCTTTGCTGAATAGGAGCAGGAATAGTGGGCATTCTTACCTTGTTCCTGATTTAAGTGGAAATACCTCTTTTGTCTCCCCATTAAACAAGATACTAGCTTTAGGAGTAAGGTATGTGTATATAATTTATCATTATAAGACAGTGTCCCTCAATGTCTATTGAGTGTTTTAATCATGAATGAGTGTTGACATCTGTCAAAGCCTTTTTCGGCATCTATGAATGCTTTATTCTCTTAGGTTTATTAAGATGGTGTATGATGATAAGTTTTCTAATATTGAACCAACCCTTATATTCCTGGAATAAGTCTCACTTGGTCATAGTGTATGTTTTTCATAGCATGGTGCTGGATATGCTTTTGAAATTGTGCGATGAACACTGGAGAGGAATATGTGTTCTCTCTGATCAAAGTGTAGAGTTTGATATGTATTCATTCATAAGATTTACCTATTGATTATTGTTTAGATCTTCCATCTCCTTACTTATTTATTGCCCATTTTATTGGTTTTGTATCGAGTAGTATGTTAAAATCTGTAAGTGTGTTCCTGTGTCTCCATGCATCTCCTATAGTTTCTTCTTCATAAAGGTAGCTGCTCTGTTATTTGGTACATAACTATCATAACTGTTATATACTCATTGTAGCTTAGGGCTTTTACTATTAAAAATGACCCCTCTGTCATGTTCAGTGCTTTGGGACTTAAGAGATAAAGACTTTAAAAAATATATTTGTACTACCTTCCTGATAACTCCTGCTGCTCCTATTCTCATGCCTATGATGTTCGCTCCATAATACATGGTAAGCAGTTTCAGTGAGGATTTACTGGCACTGGGCGTCTGTCAGAAGCTGTGCTATACCTGCTGCATGCCATTCCCAATCCGGAAAAAAAAAATGGCAGCTGGATTGTCATTACTCTTAGTATTTATACTGATGTATATTGTGATTTTTGCTTTTAAAAAATTTACCAGCTAAACCAATTACCAAATAATCTGCATGCCCAGGAGAGCTAAACTAAAATAGAATACTACTTCATTAGAGCATTTTGCTATCTTTACTTTAGAATAGGTAGCTCTTATAGAAGAATTAACTAAACTAAGTATTATCCCACTCTTAGAGGGAATGATAAAAATCTCTACAAATTAATATGGATTTCCAAAGCATACTGTTAAATGATAAAAAGCAAAGTCGAATGGATTAGCTACAATATGCTACCTTTATGTAAGGAAAAGGGGGATATATATCTATCTGCTTATTTGTTCAGGAGAAATACAGAAATGATAAACCAGAAACTAAAGGAAGTGGTTATCCACAGGAGATGGGTGAAAATAGGCTAATGGGAGTGGGGTGGCAGGGATGAAAGTAGTTCACACTTCTCTGCATATACCACTTTGCATGGCTCTGGCCTGTAGAATCCAAGAAACGTTTCACATACTTGAAAAGTAAACAACAAAACCTACGAAGATATGGGAGAAGAAAATGGAATACAAACAATAACAAATGTATGGCATAATTATGTTGAAGGGGGTTAGTAAGAAAAGAACTAAGACAAAAAGAACTGTACCTAAATGTTATGATCTAGTTAGAAAATATGTTCCTCACAGAATATGGGTCAGCAATTCTGAAACTACTTTATGTGTATGTTAGAACTGGACAAACAAATAAATACACTATAGATAGTGAGAGCCAGGCTACTTACCAATGGAGAAAGAAATTACAAGCAAGCAAAGCTCAAAGGAACCCTGTGATGTTGAACAAGAATCTGAGGTATCAGTATAAACTCATGGTTTTTACCATATATACAGGTAGATAAATAAATATAAAAGTGAGCATATGCATGGGTTAGTATGCCTACGTATATTCCCTCGCTCCAGCTGCTGAGAGGGCCTAACGTCAACGGCCCCTGTGGTGGACAGACTCTAAGGAGGACCCCTCCATGACCTCTGCCTGTTGCTGTTCATGCCCTTGTATATCACCCTCTCCCTGAGTATGGACAGGAGCTGTGACTTGCATCCAACCAATAGAAATGGCAATGGTGATGGGTTATCGCGCTTTTGAGATTATTTTTCATTATTTAACACTCCATCTTGCTAGAGGATTTGCTCCAGAGACTCTCTCTATAGCTAGTTTTGAAGCAAGTGACCATGTTGGGAGGCCCATGTGGCAAGGAGCTAAGGGCAGCCTCTAGAAGCTGAGGACAGACTCCAGCCAACAGCAAAAAGCTGGGCTCTTTGTTCCATAACCACAAGGAAATGAATTCTTCCAATAATCTGTGTGACCTTAGAAGCACACAGGAGAGCCTCCAGAGGAGAACCGGCCTGGATGACACTTTGTTTGCAGGTCTGTGAGATACTAAGCAGAGCACCCAACTTAGCTGAGTAGAGATTCCTGATCCACAGAAACCAACAGATAATAAATGTGTGTTGTTTTAAGCCACCAGGTTTATGGTAATGTTGTTATGCAACAACAGATAATGAACACAACACAATATAGGCAGTGAAGAATACCTAGTGTCCAGATCTTGTATTGTGCCAATGCTAATCTTCTAGTTTTGAGAATCGTACTATGGGCATGTAAGATGTCAGAATTAGGAAAAGCAAGGTGAGGAGCATATAAGAAATTTCTTTACTATTTTCACAACTTTTCAGTAAGTCTAAACTTAGTTTAAAATAAAAAGTTTAACTTACAAGTCAATAGAAAGATAACCCAACTGAAAAAAGGGAAAAGGATTTCTTTAGACATTTCTCCAAAGAAGATATACAACTGGACAATGAGCACACGAATAGATGCTCAACATCATTAGACATCAGGGAAATGCAAATCAAAACCATAATAAGATAGCACTTCACACCCACTAGCATGGCTAGAATTATCAAAAAGTCAAATAGCAAGTGTGTTGGTGAGGATTTAGAAAAATCAGACCCCTATACAACGTTGGTGGGAATATAAAATTGTCCAGCAGCTTTGCAAAACCATCTAGCAGTTCCTCAAATGATTAAACACAGTTACTACATGACTCAGCAATTCCACAACTAGGCAAATACCCAAGAGAAATGAAAATATGTACAAAAACTCACAAATGTTTATAGCATTATTCATAACAGCCAAAAGGTGGAAGCAACTAAATGACCTTCAACAGACAAACGGGTAAACAAAATGTGGTATACCTACACAATGGAATATTTTATTAGGTCGTAAAGAAGAATGAAATACTTCTCATATATGTTACAACAGGGATGAATCTTGAAACATTATGCTAAGTGAAAAAACCAGTCACAAAAGACCACATATTAAATGATTCCATTCATATGAAATGCCCAGAAGAGGAAGTCTGTAAGACAGAAGTGGATGAATGGCTGGTAGTCTAGGGCTGCGGGATACAGCAGTGATAGCTAAAGGGCGTGGGGTTTCTTTTTGAAATGAAGAAATGTTCTAAAATTGACTGTGGTGATGGTGTGCATATCTGGAAGCGTACTGAAAGCCACTGAATTGTACATTTTAAATGGATGAAATATAAGATATGTGAATGATAGCTCAATAAAGTTTTTTTAAAAAGCCCTTGGTCCTTAATTTTAACTGGCTTCTCTTTCACCCTCCCTTGCATTGCTGCCACCTGCTGGTATTGTTTTAAAATACCGATCAAAAATGATCAATGTCTTTAATTTTATGAAAGAAGCAAACACTGAAACAACACAGAGAAAATTTGAGGATATTTCTATCCTTTGAAAATACCATCCCAAATGTGATAGGTTCTCTGAAACAGCTAGTTCATTTATCCTTGAAAAAAATAAGGTTTTGAATAAAACATATGTAAAAGGCAATTGGCATTTTTGAGATATGGAAATTCAAAGGAACTGTGAATAATGATTTACTATTAGATGACAATGAGGAATTATTGATAATTTTATTAGTTGTGATCATTATTGTCCAGTTTTGCTAAGTACTTATTTTCTAGAGATATATACAGAAGTGTTGTAGGAATTAAATGACTCAATATTAGGGATTTCCTTTAAAGATATTACAACAATAAAAGGGCAGCTTTTAGAAGTAAATATGGCAAAATATTGATAACTGTCAAAGCTGAGGGATGGATAAATGGTGGGGGAGTACTATTCCCTCCTTATTGGGGTATATTTGAACCCTAAAAAGAAGAAGAAAAAGACATTCTTTGAGACCAAAGGACATATAAACCAGTTTGAATTCTTCTAAGGATAAAGTAGAAAATTAATAAATGGGGGTAACAAATAATGGGGTTTGCAAATCATAGGCAATAAAAATTTTTTTAAAACCTATTCAAAGAATAGAAAAAGACATTTCTTCAGATCACACTGTGGCTGTTACATGTCAAAAATAATTGCTTCATTGATATTCAGAAGTGTTCAAATACTAATTCAGGCAGGAATCTTTTTAAAGGCATACATTTTATAGTATCACACTGAAATCACTTTTATGTCATTGAAATGCTCACCCTTTGAGACTCGGCTCTTTTAAAGAGAGAGGAGTACACCTTCTTCTTCGGCTTGACAGCTCTGAAGATAGATCTTCTGACTTGTTTTCAGGTTTAGCAGCATTATTTGAAACAAAACTGTTATTTGTCAAATCCTGCAGCGTTCTAACACCTGAAAAAAGTATCATTTTCAAAAATACTTGTAACAGTAAATACACAGATGTGGAAATAGATATAGGATATTTATGGTTTATAAATTATTGGTAGCAAATATTTTAACAATAATCAAGTTATAACTTTAAATTTTACAAAAATAGCTGAAATTATTTGTAAATCAGTTTTCTAGCAATAATAATAAAAGAGATTTATAATTTAAAATACACTATCAAAGTTGTCTGCAAAATTTTTATTCTGAAATCAGATTTAAGCTGATAAAAATTCTTCATGATTCAACTCCAGTCATAAATCACTCAAATTCCTGCACATTCATTCAACATCTGTCACTGACTGCTCACACTGTGAAAGGCACCCTGAGGAACAGAGGTGAAAGATGGCTCAGTGGTGTCTAAAACGTCCTCCAACTCTAGACCCTGGCACTTTTTTTGCATCAGTATTCCTTTTACCTAGAATAGTCTTATCTATCAAAATCCTAGTGCTCTCTATATGTATATTAAAATGTTAGGCTCCCTGTAGAAAATTTTAATTGATACAGGAATATCTAATGTTACAAAATTTCTAATAACAAAGGAATATCAATGTTAAGGGGGAAAAGTGAGGTAATGCTATATCTAGTATGATTTCAAGTATATATTTAAAAATGCATAGAGTCGAGTCTGCATGCATATGCCAAAATGTTGACTGCAGTTCCTATGCGTGATTGCTTTTCCTACTGTTTTCTGACTCTCTACTTTCAATCTTCTGAAATGACTGAGTATTATTTTAATAATTGGGGAAAGTAAGAAATTCTAAAGGTAAGAATCCTACCTATCCTTTAGGGCCTAAAATGCTATCTATTTCATGATGCCTTTGCAGGTTCCTCCAGTCAAAATTACTCATCATTACATCTCTTAACATGTGTGCTTTTATTAAAGCATGTCACATTTAAACACCATACTTGTTACTTTTCCATACAAGTATTCTGAGGAAAGGGAGTTAGTATTGTTTATTTTTTTAATCACCTAAAATACCTAGAATAATGCTTTGATCATATTAAATACATGCTATTGAAGAGAGTCCCACCCTGAAGAAATTTGTAATTGTCTTTCATAAACTCAAACCAGGGCAATTCATTACTATATATACATTTAAAGCACTCAATTTCCTTCAAAAATATGAAAAAGGAAATTATCTGCCTAATGTCATTATCAGACAACTTTGTCCCAAAGACCAAAATCCATTCTTTAGTGTATAAATGTCTAAGACATTAACTATTATCTTCTCAAAGTATTAAAATTTCTTCAAATTCCTTCGTATTACTTCTATAGATCAGCCTGATCTATAGATCAGGCTACATAGTTATACACTGTCTTAAAGTTCCATAAAAATATCACTTATAACAGGAAATGCTTTACTGGTTAAGTGAAAAAAAAAATGCTTTTAAAACCTGATCACTTCAGATATTCACCTACCTATTCCCGATTTTTGTGTTCTCCGGTTCACCTTAAATTTCATCTCTTTCGTCTCATGCACATCATCACTTACTTGAAAGACAGGTGAGCTCTCCAAAGCAAAATTTTCTTTCAGACTTTTACTAGAAGAAATACTCAAAGGTACTGAACCCTCAAGAACACCGCTAAAGGAAGAACCTTGTCTGTTAGGTGAATATATCTGAGATAAAGATGTAACCATTTTTGTGTAAAAGTCTGGTTTCATCTTCACAATTTTCTCATTTTCCAAATTTTTTTCCTTAACTGTGTGTTCGGATTCAACTGATATTCCCTGAATGGTGTCAGATATCATTCTCATTAGTTCATGACTATCTGAAGAAGGATCCATGGAGGTCTTCCTTTTCTTTGATTTAGATGTCACCTTACTTACTCTTTTGACCTGGCACTCTCCTTCCTTTGTCACTTCCACAAACGGAAGATCTCTCTTTTTGTTCAGAGTTGTAGTGCTTTGCTTTGGATTCTTATGTAGTTCCATTTTGTTTCCAGTATCAGCATCTGCTTCATCAGTAATATGTTTTAAACCTGGTTCTAAGGAGACAGATGTCTGTGAAGAACCTGTTAACTGCAAAATTGGCTTGTTTTTACCTTTTGCCAAAACGTTCTTTGCCTTGCCAGATGATTCTTTCCTGTGCTTTTTAACTAATTTGTAAGGATTTGAAATTTGGTCACAATTTTCCTTTTCATTACTGTTGATTTCCATACTGTATCCATTGATAATACCTTGGCCTTCAAGTCTTTGTTTAGATTTGTTTATTTTAAAATCAAGATCTTTTGTACAGCTTTCTTGGCTATCCACATCTTTATCCTTATCCTCATATATCTGGTACATTTCAGAAATTATCTCTGTCTTTCGACTTACTTTCTGCCTAAGCTTCTTACTTATTTTTGATTCATTTTGCTGAGTGGGTTGCATATCACTGACATGCTTTTTCAAATCCAACATATTCTGGGTCTCATAATCATATAAATTTCCATTATCTTTGGTGGAAAGATAAATTGTCTGAAATTCATTTGTGACTTCTAGGTTTTCAGAAATGGTTCCTTTATCTCCTGGGGTTAGGGAAAAGAAGTTACCTTTTTCTGGCTCATGTATACCTTTGTTATTAAAATCATTTTTTCGGTTCGTTTCCAAAATTATCTCTGTCTTTCGACTTTCTTTCTGCTTGAACTTCTTACTTATTTTTGATTCATTTTGCTTTGCAGGTGGCATATCAGTAGCATGCTTTTTCACCCCTAAAAGGTTTTGAGTTTCATAATCACATAGGCTCCTATTACCTCTAGGAGAAAGATCAGCTATCTGAAAGTCAATTGAGTCTTCTAAGTTTTCAGGGACGATTTCTTTATCTTTTTGGGTTAGAGAAAATAAGTTACTTTTTTCTGGGTCATGCAAGCCTTTGTCATCATTCTCACATATTTGGTTGATTTCAGAAATTATTTCCGTCTTCCGACATGCCTTCTGCCTAAGCTTCTTACCCATTTTTGATTCATTTTGATAAGCAGGTTGTATAGCATGTACATGTTTTATCACCCCCAAAACATTCTGAGTCTCATAATCTAGATTTCCACTATCTTGGGTAGAAATAGGTATTTGAAACTCACTTGTATCTTGTAGGCTATCAGGGGTGATTTCTTTGTTCCGGGTTAGGATGGAAGAGTTACCCTTTTCTGGGTTACCACTTCTGTCATTATCGAAATGATTCACTTTGGAAATTATTTCAGTCTTCCGATTTACTTTCTGCCTAAGATTCTTATTGATTTTTGATTCATTTTGCTGAACAGGGTACACACTGGTGATCTGCTTTTGCAAACCCAACACATTCTGGGTCTCACAATCACACAGGTGTCCATTATTGCCAGTGGAAAGAGCAGATTTTTGAAACTCATTTGAAACTTGTAGGTTTCCAGAGATGGTTTTTTTATCCTCTTGGGTTTCGAAGGAAAAGTTACTTTTTTCTGGGCCACATACATCTTTAGTATTATCTCCAAATATTTGGTTCATTTCAGAAATTATCTCTGTTTTCCGATTTACTTTCTGCCTAAGCTTCTTATTTATTTTTGATTCATTTTGCTGAGGGGGTTGCACATCAGTGACTTGCTTTTTCAAATCTGACGTATTTTGGGACTCATAATCACATACATTTCCATTACCTTTGTTGAAAAGATAAGCTGTTTGAAATTCATTTGTGACTTCTAGGTTTTCAGAGGTGTCCTCTTTAACTTTTTGGTTTGGGAATAAGTTATCTTTACCTAAGTTATGAATCACAAATGTCTGCCTAGAAGCTTTACTTTTCTTACAAGCTAGAGCACTCAGGCCCATGTCAAATTTACCGTCCTCATGGAATTTATCTGCACTTTGGGAGAGAGAGAATGTTTCCTCTTGCTCATCTGTTACATGAATTATTTTCTTCTTTTTGTTATACTGTGTACTTTGTCTGGCATCTTGATCAAAGTCACTATGAAGGGACATTTTCTTCAGCGTGTTCAACTGAGTCAGCTGTTCAGTACTGGGAATAAAATTTGGATCTTTTGAGTCCCCTTCACCTTCCAAGACAACAGATCTTCTTTCTGGTCCATTTTCACTCTTTTCCTCAATATCCACATCTGAACTTTTTTTAAATTGTCTTTTTGATCTTTCTCTCTTTTTTTCAGAGCTTGAATCTTTCACTTTTCTGAAAGTTTTCATTCCACACTCATTTGTTTTTTTATTACTTTTATTTCTAGCACCTGTTGAAACTGTAACAATTTTGCTTACTTCACTAGCAGTTAAATCCATGTCATCATCATACACAGTTTTCTGCAACTGAAAGTCATCATTACCCTGAACTTGACTCATGCCCTCTGCAGTAGGTTCACTTGCAGACTCAGATGAGGCAGGAAGGCACTGTACATTTCTTTGAATTTTAATATTTGTTTCATTAGTACAATCTTTTATCTCATTATTCCAATTTAATTCTGGTCTTGAAATCTGTTGATCTAAATCTGTCACACAAGGAGTGTCTGCAGGATTATTTGATTCCCAAGATGATACACGTTTTTTCCTTTTAGTTATATTACTAGGAGATAGTTTCTCCTTTCTGTGACTGATTGACTGTGCATTATTTATCTCACTCGTTAGAGAACTCCAGGAGCTTTGGTCTGAGTGGGAATGGCTTTCTATAAAATAAAGGGAAACAAATTTCAGAAAAAAGTAGTAACAAGGAATTTATTATTTTAAATTAGATTAGGAATCAAGCTATTTCAGAGAAGGGATTTCCGATAATGTGTTCAGGTAATTATATTATTAAGAATCTATACTGATAAAACATAAAGTAGAAATGACTAGAGTAGTTTTAAGTCACGTTTTACGTTCCTATCTATGGGAAGTATATACTGGGAGTTTACTCTGCCTTGGCCCCAAGAGTAGAGCGGAGAATAGCTAACAGTAGAGCCATTACCATATGTTTCTAAGTGGTAGGAGGCTGGCAAATGAACCTCAACAACAGTGATACCTCTCATAAGGATCACTATCAAAAGGTTATCAGCAGGCAGCTGAAGTTTATAAAAATTATACGCACATACTCACATATATTTTTAGAAAGGAAAATTAATTCAAACTCTAAATTCAATATAGTTATGGTTTCATATCCCAATGTGAAATTCTATGTCAAATACATAAAGCAGACTACACCACAGGATTATTATTTTAAAATACCATATAAAAAAAGTAAGTGTCATCATTTTCTCTTGCTCAACCATTCATTAGCCAGGCTCAAGTTTTTGTTTTATCAATAATTGGTTATGATCTTAAAAAAGTCACTACACCTATCCAGGGCCTCAATTTTCATATCGGTGAAAAGGAGAAGATGTAACTAAATAAATACATGTTATCTTTCACTTCTGAAGCTAAGATACCAAGAAAAGCTCTTTAGACTAGCTCATTTCTAAATACTGTTTCCAGAGTAATAGTATTAGGCCACAATGTACCTGATATTTGTTGGCACTTTTACTTTTAAATTGAATTTTTCACCAGCAATTTTAAATGGTAGGCATTAGCAAATCTGTGACATAAGAAATCTAACTTACTGTTTATACACCATGGCTCTCAAGAAGAAAATCTGACGAATGTCAACTGTTTAATACTGATACTCAAAATAAATTTTTAAAAAAATCTCACCTTTGGGAAGTATATCAACAACAGATAAAACAGGTTCTGAGGCATTTAAACCACAAACATTCTGCTCATTTTCTTTAAGAAATAATAATTCCAAATTATGCTGAGTTGGTAATGGTCTTGTTGATGCTAAAGAAGGAATACCAGGTGATGTCTTTGATATATTGTTGTCACATTGCGTTTTCTCTTTATCTTCCTCCTCATCATCATTTGAAGTTAATGGAACCCTAAAGGTAATTAAGAATGAATAAGAAATTTTGTATTTTACAAAAATTATTTAGAAAATTACATGGATAGTTCTTTCTATATTCCATTTATCTAAGATCCAACCACAAACCCACCCTGGTAACATTTTGTGTTCAGTGAAGGCAATTATGGGTAGGAAATAGGTACTTTCTAACAGTACAGAACTTGCTTCTTCTCTCCTTAGCCCCAGTGGCCCCCAAAAGGAGATAAATGATATAATCGCCAGCTGGGTTATTAGGATAATAATACTAATGAAATGAATAAAGTTCAAACATACTTATAAATATTCACGTATAATGTTTACAGTTTTCCTATAATTAATTCTATGGAAAACCCAAAACTCTTCCTCTGGTTTCAAACAAGTACAATTGTATGTATAGATTTGAGTGCAATAAAGTTTGCTATGTTTCCAAAAGGTATTCATGTAAACTAAAGTCATATTCCCAGAGTAGTTAAATCTATGAGAGGAAAAAGACAGAAAGCCACAGAAATAATTTGACAAAATGAACTTTTTTGAATTCAAATAAAGATTAGTATGTTCCAATGCTATAGATTTACCCTGTATGCCAAACAAATCACTGATATTTTAAAAATATTGATAACGATAAAAATATTTTTTAAAATATTTGTTACAAATTTAAAGGCACCTGTTAGTAGAAAAGCCACTGAGAGGAAATGTCTACACTACTTGAAGAAATAAGTTAGCAAAAACAGAGGAGAGGTTCTGCTTTGGGCAATGGCCAAATAGCTACTATTGAATGAATCTTATCAAACATAATGACTAAATTCTGGACAAAATATTAAAAAACAACTGCCTGAAGTCAAAAAGCAAGTAGATACAGAAGAGGGGTTGACACACAGAAAAAGGGTGAGCTTCCCATTGTTTACAAACCTGAGTCAGTGCCACATTTCCTAACACTTTCCACAGTCTCACACAAGGTCAGAATTCAGGGCAACTACACCTTCTGTAGTGTGTGTGATGGGAAAAATTACAGGAAAGGTAGACAGGGGAGCCCCACATTTGTGCATAAACTCTCCCAAAATCTAGCTGCTCCCTGTATCATATACATGTGAGAAAGATTCCAAGCAGCCTAGCTAAGGATTAAAGAACTGAAATGAGATTTCATATGTTATTCATCACAGGCAAGTAATAATATCAAGTTTAAAGTAACTACTAAAATGAAACATCAAACTTGATGGAAGGATATACCTGAATCCAGATTTTCTATAACACAGGATTCATAATGCCTGGGACATAATCCAATATTATTCAACATACAAAGCAACAGGGAAACATGATTCAAACTCAAGAGAAAAAGATAATCAATAGATGATGATCCAGATATATAATTTGTACTACAGTGCAATAAATCAAGGGTGAGTGTAAGTACTAACAGTGGCATTCTTATTGTGTTCCCATTATTTAATACGTTTGCTCTTGGGTTTTTGTAGATCCTCCTTATCAGATTAAAGAAGTTCCACTGTATTCCTAGTTTGCTGAGTTTTTTCATGAATGAGTGTTGAATGCTTTTTCTGTTACTATTGAGAAGATAGTACTTTCCTCTTTTTTTTCTAGTAATGTAATGATTTTAAAATATTTTTTCTACTAATGTAATGAATTATAAGGATTGATTTTTTAATGTTAAATCACTACTGCATTCCTGCAACGAACTGCTCCTGATGATATATCCCTTTGACACATCACTAAATTTTATCTGCTAATATTTTACAGGAGTTTTGCATGTATTTTAACAATGAAGATGGTTTATAATTTTCCATTCTTGTAATATATTTTGTCAAGTTTTGTATTTATATTATGCTGATCACAGTAAATGAACTGATAAGTGCACCTCTTTTTCTTTTTTCTGGAAGTACTTGTGTACATTTCTTTTTCTTCAAGAACTTGGGAGAAGATATTGGGGTCTGCAGTTTTTTGTGGAAATATTTTTGATAACATCCTGTTTTAGTACATTTAAGAATATTCAGATTTTTTATTTCTTCTTTGTGTCAAGTTCACTGATTTTTAAAAAGATTTGTCCATTTCATTTAAAATATCAAATTATTGGCATAAAGTTGTTCAGAGCAGCTTCAGTTACATGTTTAATGTCCGCTATAGGTATGTAATGTTCTTTTTCTTTCTCAGCATTGGCTATTTATGTTTTCTTGTTTTCTTGATGGCAAAGCTGAAAGTTCACCATCAGAAGGATGGATAAATTATGGAATAATCACACAATGGAATAGTATACAGAAAGGAGAATGACTCAGCTATAACTACACAGGACAATACAGATGAAACTTACAAACACAATGCTGAGCAAAAATGAGCCAGAGACAAAAACCATACAACCCTGTATGATTTCATTACATGAAGTTCAAAACTAGGCAAAATTAAATCTATGATTTTAGAGATTTTAGAAGTTATGATATTTATCCTTGGGGAGGTGGTGAGTAGTGACTAGAAAGGGGCACAAGGAGATGTCTGAGGTACTGGTGATACTGTTTCTTGGTCTGGATACTGGTTATACCACAGTGTTCACTTTGTGAAAATCCATGACACTCTATAAAGATTTTTGTACTTTTCTAAAATGTATATTATACTTCAAACAAAAGTTTACATTAAAAAAAAAGGAAAATTTTTGGAGGGCAAGTTAACATTTAATTCATACACTTTTATGAAATAATGCATGCATGACAGACAAGATTTTCTTGAAAAAGAACTAAGGAACTATAAGACAACAAAATGTTCTATTTTAAAACTGTATTAATTTAAATGTACTGATGCAATGTGATGCTGGAACAGAATAGGCAAAACAATAGAATAAACTAGAATAAACAGAAAGTGACACAGTAGATGTAAGAAGTTTTTACTGTGGCACTTTAATATACAAGTGCATTTACTCGTGCACTTATGTAAATGCACTAAACCTGTAAGTTATATAACAAAAAGAACATTGTCTAAAAGAGATGAGAATTCTGATTAATGCTTTTAACTCATTGAGCCATTTTACCTCACTGGACCTCAGTAACTGTCTTTAAAATGTTAGGTTTGAAATAGGGTATTTACTATGACTTATAATCAAATTAATCAAGAAATGGGAATTTTGGTCAGGAGAACAGCAATGATGAAAGTTAATTGTAAAGCCTGGGCATTATGCAAGATAATAGAGAGAGAAATAGTTATCAGATTTACTCAGCAGAAAACATGAGGCCAATCGTGACCTGGGGGAAAAGAAAAAAATGAAGAGTTAAGTAGTAGGATTCTACAGATGACCTTGGTTACTGAATTGATGAGTAAGTGTCCTTTGAGCCCTGGTGACACAACCAATAGCAAGTTACCACAAACCATCTTATTTCTACCCTAGTAGGCAACTACAGATTGATGACATCTGAGCATTGTATAACACACGCAATGATTATGTTATATAAAAATCCAAGTACGCTGAACCAGTGTAATTCAAACCCATGTAACCAAGGTCTGCCTGTACCTCTTTCTTCTCCAGAGGCTATGGGAAAACTGAATATTATTTCAAAGTTTAAACCTGAATTCTATTAGATTATATCTTCAAACTTCTTTTACTAGTTCAGTGTTGACAAGTATTTCATTACTTCTCTCTGTTTTTCTGTTTCAAGGAAGCAGATCAAATAAAAACCATTCAAAGTCCAATTCAGGTAGAAGTGTGCAAGTCAATATTTAACCAAGTTTTGAAGCAATTACCTTGCAAATGGAAGACGCATTAATTTGCACTGTTTACTAACCCGTTTCTTCTTGCTACTTGGCAGCAGAAAGGGACTCTGATGGAACTATTTTTGAAAAGAACAAAGAAAATGAAAATGAACAAAATTTCTAACCTCATTAGATCATGTTTGCTATTAAAGTTCCAAATTAAACTAGAATATTAATAGTTATAGAATAATTCTTACATTTGCCTTCAATAGTTGAATGAGAATAATGTAATGATTAGGTTAAACACAGTTCATCCTTAATCATGCCATCCAAAGACAATCACTACTAATATTTTGGTACATAACCTCTCAAACTTTATTCTTATACATATGAATAAATACACATGTGTACACCCAGGCATGTACAATTATTTCTACATATACAGCTGACTTTTGAACAACATGGGTTTGAATCACATGGGTCCATTTATATGTGGATTTTTCATCAGTACAGTTCATGATCCACAGTTGGTTGACTCTGAGGCTGTGGAACTGTGAATTCAAAGGAACCACGGATACAGAGGGCTGTAAGGAACTGTAAGTTATACACAGATTTTTGACTTTGCGAAAGGTCAGTGCCCTAAGCCCCAGGTTGTTCAAGGGTCAACTGTATGTATGTGCAATACATTCCTGTCTACATATGTATTATGTAATATATTATTGGATTTCATAATACTGTTTTTAAATGGTCTTTAAAATTCAAAGTCTGAGTGATATTAATATATCTTTAAAATTTTTGTTTATCTGCATTTTTAAATTTTCTGATATGTTTTCTGAGCATGTTTTAATTAATTAATAAAGATCATAAAATTAGGCAACAAGCAACAATGTCTTCCTATTACAGTGCTAACCTGTAATAAAAACAGGTGTACGGTCAGATTAACGAGCTGGTTTTAAAATTCATATGGAAATGCAAAGGACCTAGAATAGCTAAAACAACTTCGAAAAGGAAGAAGAAAGTTGGAGGATTATGGTAATTGAGACAGTACGGTATTAGTATATAAAGACAGACAAACACATCAATGAAACAGAACAGGGTGAGATAGACCCACACAGATTTGGTCAATTAAATTTTGGCAGCGGTGTAAAAAGTCAAATGAGGAGCATAGAACATCCACATTCACTGGGCTGTAACAGGTAACTCTCCTCCAAATCAGGAGTACTGTCAGAAAAGGCCGAGGGGAGAGTTCGACAGCCAGGTGGTAACAAGCACAGCCCGCAAAGCCCAGCGATGTCAGTAGAGGACACGTGGGGACTCCGGACATCCAGTTCCTCTCGGCAAAAGAAATCAATCTGCATATTACAGCTGAAGGAATTCCCAGAGAGATAAACTCAAAGAAATCCATGCCAAGACACATCATAGTCAAATTCCTCAAAACTAAGGACAAAGACAAAAATCGTGAAAGCAGTATGAGAGAAATGACACCTTACCTACAGAGGTAAGAATGAATGAAAAATAAGTAAGTATCTGACTCACAATCAGAAAAGTAACAACAGAAGAAACCACATAAAAGCAGAAGAAAGGACTTACTACTAAAGATAATAGCAAGAAATAGTAACATTGAAACACAGAAAAGCAGAACTCAAAATTAAATCCAAAAGATGTTTCTTTTAAGAGAAAAAGAAAAAACAGAAAACCACAACCACCTAATCTAGTGGGGAAAAAAACAAGAAAAAGCTCAAATACACAAAAATAGTCAACAGGGGAAATAAAACAGACAAAATTATTGGTTGACTTTGGTTAACTCTATGCAGATCAATTTGAAAACATGAATGAAATAAATAGGTACTTTTCTAAGGAAATACAATTGAATAAAACAGCCCATAAAAGAGAGAAATTTTCCTGAGCAACTCAATATCTGCATTAGAGATATAGTTAACAAGGAGCCACTATCTCCACTGAGAAAGACCCAGGTCCAGATGGTTTCACAGAAGAAAAAAGAATTCTAATAGTATGTCATTTTTACAGAACATAGGAAAAGAAAACATCTAAATTCTTGTTGTTGGTTTGGTATACATGATAATGCTTAAAGACTTTACAAAAAGAAAACTTCAAAGAAACCTCACTTATGAATAATAAAAAATTCCTAAATAAAATACTGGCAGAAAGAATTCAGCAGCACATTAAAAGAATAATAAATAAATCATTTCTAAAGTTTATTCTAAAATTGTAAAATTAGGAAAACTGCTAAAATAAGTCATTATATTAAACACTTAAAAAGAAAGACCATATGCTAAGAAGATATTTTAATTATTTATCATTATTTTCTATATAAAAAGCTCAGTAACAGATGTATCATACGATAAATAAGTACTTCACCCTTAAAAAAGAAAGCATCATTCTTAATGGGGAAATACTATTCAACATTTTATAAGTATTTATTGAATTCTACTACGTTCTAGACATCATTCTGATATAGACAAAAACCCTGCACTCAAGAAGCTTATATTTTGGTGTGATAAACAACAAAATTAATAAGTAAAATTATATGTTACATAGTATTGAAGTGCTAAGAAGAAAAAGTAAAGCAGGGAAGCAGAATACAAAGCACTGGGTCAGGGTGGGGAAGGATCTAGATTTATAACGGTTGTCAGGGAAGGCTTCACGGAAGTGACTTCTGAGTCAAGATTTGAAGGAAGTAAGGGAACTACCACGTGAAGGAAGAACAAGTACAAAGGCCCTGAGTGGCAGCCTGCCTGTGTATCAAAGATGTTAATGAGCAGAAGGAGGGGAAGAGTAGATGAGGTGAGAGAAAGAACAGGAGTTTCAGTTTCGGATAAAATTGGGCAGCAGATGAGACTGGAAGCTGCAGGAGGGTTTTAGGCAGACTAACACTTTACTGGGATCACTCTGGCTGCTGTGCTGAGAAGCGGATATAGAGAGGCAAGGGAAGAAGCAAGAAGCCCAAGCTGGGCTGCTACTACAATAATTCAGGTAAGAGATAATGGTGGCTTGAATATGGGTGATAAAAGTGAGGGCTGTGAGAAGTGATAGAATTCTGGACTGCTTTTCAAGGTGGTGCTAAAAGGATTTGCTAAAGGATAGCTATGAGGTGTGTAGAAAAGATAGGAAAATAGAGTTGTAGTTGCCTGAGATGAAGACCCCCACAAAGGAACCGGTTTGGCGGCAGTTGTGAAGTTGGAGATGCCTCTTAGACATCCAAATTGAACGGCCAAGTAGGCAGTCAGACATGTACTGTCTGGAGTTTACAGTAGATGGCCAAGCTGGAGATGCAAATTTGGGAGCCATCAATATTCAGTAGTAATTAAAAACATGAGATTCTCATTTAGGAAATGAGTACAGATGGAAGAGAAAAAGAACTCAGGTCTGTGGTACCCAAAAAATAGCAATCAGGGAAATAGAGAGGAACCAGCAAACAGAATGACAAAGAACAATTAGAAGGGTAGGAAGAAACAGGAGAGGGTCATAAACTGAAAGTCACATGAAGACTAACACAAGGACCCAGAAATAGCCAGAGGTTTTGGCAACATAGACATCAGTTTCCAGAAGAGCAGTTTTCACGGGGTGGTGATGAAAACCCAATTGATGTGGGTTCAAGAGAAACTGGAGACACTGTGAATAACTGTCTCAAAGACTTTTGCTATAAAGGTAAAGAGAAAAGATAGTAGTTTGGGATGGGGAATATAAGTGGAGTAAGAAGTTTTATTTTTGTTTTCTTCTTCTTTTTTTTTTTTTTAAAGATGGGAGATAACATTTTTGCATACTGATGGGAATAATCCAGGACGGGAAAATTAATGCAAGGGGAAACAGCATTCTACACTAATGTTAAGTCAACAGCAGAGAAGACAAACCATGTGTCCAACAACAGGAGCCTCATTAAACAGATTAGCAGTCCATTCTAGATCTATTATCCTAAGCAGCACTAAAAAGGAGTAAGTATTCCCTGTAATTATACAGAGATCTTCAAGAGATGCCACATAAGGAAAAAAGGCACAGAACAGTTAGTATGTTATCTTTTGTATAAGAAAGAAAATTAAGAAAACATTTATATATCTTTGTTTTAATAAAAAGAAATCCATGAAAGCAATTACCTGCATGAGGTGTGGGGAGAAGAGAGGAAAATGGAGAAGAAAGCAGCTGGAGGCAGAACAGAAGCATGTGTGAGACTTCGTTTTATACTTTTATATGTTGTTCCAATATTAGAACCACACATCTCTATTACCCACTGTCCTCCTCCACAACTAAAAAGAAAAGGCATTGCACAACTTGATGTGCAAAAATTAGCCTGTTAAAAAATAAGTCCAAGAAAGAGGACATCAAAGTTGCATGCTGTCCCTTCATCCTCCAGCTTCCACGTCCACTCACTCCAGATTTTTCACTTTTCCTAAATTCAGATACTGATCTCAGCCCTCTTTGAGTTATTCAAAGAGAACCACATAAAAGGTTGGCAACAATGTTGACTTTACTATGTATGTTTTAAAGAACCACTAGAGGGAAGGAGCTTTATATCACACAACTCACAACAAACAACTGAGCAATGTTTTTAGGGCTATCTGTCCTCTACAGTTCCTTGACATATGGGTGGTACCACCCTCCCCCCTTCTACGTCTTGCCATTTGGCTTCTTTCTCTTACTTTACAAGTCAATTCTTGTACTGACTCTACACTCTCCATTGCTGGAATTGAGTCTAGTCTTAGAAATTTATTTAGGACAATTCAATTCAGCCCTGTAAGCTGATCAGCAAAACAGAGTGCTGACTCTCATTCCCTCCTGCATGACTCCCCATCCCATGAAAAGCATCTCTTCTCCTCAGAGAGTGCTCAATGTATAAGGCACACCTCTGCCCACTGGCTGTCCCAGCTATCAAATTCATTTTTATGATTTTGAGGTTGCTAAAAATTTTTTAAAGAAAATCCATCAATAGCTTCTTTTATGGTATCTTACTTTCTAGGTATAGAAAGACCTCTGTTTTCTAACATGAATTCATTTGTAATTTCTTCTCA